GATTGATTTGAATCGAGCAGCGTTTCGATATGATAGCACCATTGACTACAGCTTGAATCGTTTAGTTTGCATTGGTCCAATGGACGTTGTTTACCAGTATTGTGGCGCATTGAAGTTTGCTGGTGAAACGCCCGGTTTCCCTGGTTTATGGCGAAACACTAGAATCACGACAGCCTGTTTCCAAATGACTTCATTTGGGGCGGAAATTATTGTAGACGGATAAAATCCGACATTTAAGGTAATTTACGTTAAAAATTTAATTTATGTGATTGTAAAAAAAAAAAAAAATTGGAATAATGTAGTTTGTTAGATTTCTGTAAAAAGTGATTGTAAATCTAACTATAACTATGGCTTTGAATTTAAAGATTCAAGGCCAGATTTGCCATCGCATTGGATCATTGCAACCTATTGAAGATGCACAGCACAAATTCTTGCAAATATACTTCATGGGCAATATGGAAGAAAAACTTGACCGGCGTCAAGAAATCAACACAGCTATGAAAAGAGCAATTCTTCAAGATTTGCAGCAAATGCTTCACGAACATCATGCATTGCAAAAGCTGTTCAAGACTGCTTTAGAGTGCATGCCAAGAGATGACTATAAAGTAGTAATCAGAGCAGATAAAAGACCAGCTGGAACACACTGAACGCACATTTAATGCTCCAACAATCGATGAAGTGGCAATCCTTATTGTTGGTGAAAGCTTGGAAGCACGCGATATTGTGCTTACACGACGCAGTACTGGGCAACTACAAAGAATATCTGAAACGCACCGTTCATATGACGCTTTACAATACCCGCTCATGTTTTGGCAAGGAGACGATGGATATCACTTTAATATCAAAATGATTAATCCATTGAATGGTAAAATCAATCATTGTTTTCATTTTAACTTTATATACATTTCATTCTGTTTAATTTTGGTACACAAAAAAAGTGATCACTCTTAATTTAGTAGAGAGTAGCTGTAAGAGTCGTAAACCTATTAGGGGTTCTAAAATACAATTTTTACGATCAACAAATCACAGAGCTAATCTTTGACTATTTGTAGCCTCAATCTAGAAAATGTGTGTTTTTCTCATGGTCAATTGAACGTGGCAAGCTCACGTGTTGGAAAACCATCCGCATTATTTGTTCTTGCACCTGACCAAAAAACGAAGAATGTTGTTTACCACAATGTGCTTGAATGAAAATCCGATTAATAAATAAATCAGAGTGTATCCCAACCTGAACAACATAGCTTTCAACAATTTTTTACCTAGAAATAATTAATATAGAGGGCAATGCAACGTTTGCCGGGCCAGCTAGTGTATATATATGAAAAGTTTTTTTTTTGGGTTTTTTTTCTTGTGGTAAGTCGAGCATACCCTGCGAGTGAAAATTCGAAAATATACATATATACTCGCATATATGTATGTATATATAAGAATAGTTTTTTGGTTTTTTTTTTGGCAAGTCGGGCATACCCTGCGAGTGGAAAAAAAGGAGAGAGAGCAATGAGAAGTGACAAATATGGAGCGGAAATATGCGCACACCCCGGGAGTGGAAAAAAAAAACAGAACTATTATGATGAAATATAATAGTGGCCATAAAGCGAAATTATGATAGCAGTGGAAAAAAAATAATAATAATATACAATAGCGAACACAGTAGTGAGCGGGAAAGAAATGATATTTTGAGCGAAAAAATATAGATAAATAAACAAAAATAAAACGAAGAAATAAGATGAGAATAATATATAAAAGTGATCACAGAGATGAACGAAAAAGAATGTTACAATAATAGTGAAAAGAGAGAAAATTTGAACGTGAGAATGGACAGTGGCCGGGCCGGTATAAGAGCAAGTGAAATCAAAAATGGACTAAGTGAAAATGAAATAAAAGAAATAAAACGAAATAAAATAAAATTAAATTTAATTTAAAAAAATAATATAAAATAAAACAAAACTAGAATACGTAAAAGTAAAATAAAGCGAAATAGATTAAGTTGAAATAAAGAAAAGTAAAATAAAACTAGAATAAGTGAATAAAGAGCAGATCAAGAAGGCAAAAGGAAGCATAAAATAGTTTAAGACAGTAAAAGTAAATAAAATTGTATAAGAAAAGAAAAAAAAAATAAATAAATAAAGGGAAAAAAAATAGAAAAAAAAGAAAAGAGACTAGATACTACCCAGCACACAACTAATAATAAAAAAAAATGCCCATTTAGTATGGCTAAAATTTCAATTTCGACGTATTTAAATATATAAATGAAGTACAAAACTCATTTAATAAAATATAAAAATATTTTGAAACAATTGAAAAAATTAATATAACCGCTCGGGATTCGAATCCGCGACTTCTCGATCGAGCGTCACACAGCTACTCACTACGCACCTCACTTTCGGGAGCTGTGGTGGCAAAACTGAAATAGATTCACTGCTGCAGCGTTATCTAGCAAAACTAAACCAAACTAACTGATGATGTGATTCTAAGAATCTGCTAGAATAACCAAACTATTAAAAACGCACATTAAGTATGGTTTAAATTTCAATTTCGGTGTATTTAAAAATATAAATTAAATAGAAAACTCATTTATGAAAATATAAAAATATTTTGAAACAATTAAAAAAAATTAACATCAGCTGCACCGATCGGGATTCGAACCGCGACTTCTCGATCGAGCGTCATGCCGCTAACACACTACGACACCTCACATCTGGAAGCGGCGCTGGCAAAACTCAAATAGATTCACTGCTGCAGCGCCATCTACCAAAACTAAACCAAACTAACTGTTGATGTGATTCAAAGAATGTTCTAGAAGAAGTTTGAATGTATGTGTGCATACGCATACGATGCTGTTGTAGCTGCTGCACGTGCGTTTGTTAATTGGCCAAATATTTAATGATTTTTAATTAATTTTTGACTGAACGGAATTTAATGAAACTTTCAGCATATGATCTATATATTGAATATATGAGAAATTTAAAAAAATGAAAAATCATTCAAAATTATCTATAGTGGCATGTGACTTGAACTTGAATGTTTTCACTCGATAAAAACATAACGGGATGATTTATCGAATTTTAAAAGCAAACTTGATGTCCGCGCTGTATATACGGTCTTTAAAAAAAAATTGAAGTCTCTAGCTCTTATATCTTCGGAAATCGACGCGTTCAAACATACGGACAGACGGACAGACAGACGGACAGGGCCAAATCGACTTAGCTCGTCACCCTGATCAAGAATATATATACTTTGTGGGGTCTGCCACGCCTCCTTCTGCCTGTTACATACATTTAACAAAACCATTATACCCTGATTTCCCATTGAAAATGGGTTCAGGGTATAACAAGTAAGAAGACTCTAGTCGAGACTGCTCGACTAGAAAATACCCTGAACCCTCTAATCTGATATTCTAATCAGTCTGCACTTCTTTTCGACACACATACATACACACTCACGTATTAGAACGCGCTCTGCTAACTGCGCAGTAAGCAGCGACTGCGCTTGGGCTGCGCTGCAGTGTGGGCAACATTATAAGAATTTATTTGTTGAATAATTTAATTTCTAGGCATACAATCCTAATGAAACTTTCAGAACATAATTATAATATTCAAATGTGTGTACATTCCAATGCACAAGTCTCTAGTACTTGAAATACGCCTTTCACTAAGGTGTAGGTGAGGGGGTGGATATAGGGGTGGGGGGTAAATTACAACAAAAAACGAAATTATATAAAATACATATAAGTCTACATTTAAAATTTGGAAGCTCTTGCTTTAAAGGTATAGGAGATATAATTAAATAACTAGCTTTCGATAAGGGTTTTAATCGATAATAAAATATCGGGAGTAGTTATCGATATATAGAGAAAAACTTGATATGCGCGTGATATACACGGACCTAGGAAAAAAAATTTCAAGTCTCTAGCTCTTATATCTTCTGAGATCGACGCGTTCATACATACGGACGGACGGACGGACAGACAGACGGACAGGGCCAAATCGACTCAGCTCGTCGCCCTGATCAAGAATATATATACTTTGTGGGGTCTGCCACGCCTCCTTCTGCCTGTTACATACTTTTAACAAAACCATTATACCCTGATTTCCCATTTTCAATGGGTTCAGGGTATAAAAATAAAAAGGAAAATAAAAAGATCAAGAAAATGAAAAGAAAAGGTGGAACAAGCAGGAGTAATAGACTAGTGTAAGCGGACGGAAAAGCGGGACTATCGACACGTCGAGGAGTGAGGAAGACGGCATCACGACTAGAGCAGATGTACCATTGGTCGGGCATGATCGGATATGCCGTAAAGTACATAAAGCGCTGCGAGACGCGCCAGGAGTTCAAAAGCGTGAGGTGAGGTGGCTCACCTGCGACCCACTTTACATTGCACTCGCACCAGGAGTAGATAGGAGTATGTAGGTAATAAGATTTGTAGTAGATAGGAGTTTGTAATTGATAAGATTGGTAGTTGATAAGATCCGATTTAGTAGAATATAAGCTGGTTAAGTTGATTTTTTATATTAAGTCAAGTAATAAGTTGGTAGTTTGTAAGACATTGTTAATTAGTTATTAAGTGGTCATTAGTGACATAGCAAGTAGCTTTTGTAGATTAAGTAGGATTTGAATAGAGGGTGGGCGCGCGATCTGCATTGTCGATGCCGACCAAGCAGAACAGACGCATTTTGGAGAGTTGGAGTTCTCGGCGCTCGGCGCGAGCAGACGTTTTGTATTAGATTTAACCTATAACTGGTATATCCCCCCCTTTTTTTTTTTTCTCTAACACTGCATGTCCCGTACAGACTTACAAATTTCTTGTAAGTTCTGGCCCTGGTGAGACTGAGTCTCTTACCCCGGCCTAAGAAAAGTAACCTTACAGGGTTTGTTTATCAAGGGTTATAATCTCCTCTTTTACTTCATACATGATTGCTGTTGTCTATTTTATTGTATCGTACTATTACTTATTTTTATCAATAGATATCCTCCTTAAATATTATTAATATAAAAATTACCTCTTTTACGATTGAGTACGCATTTGCAACACCTTCCCGTAAATCCTTTGGGCGGAAGTGTCGTTTCCTATCATGCTTAGATTTTCTTTTTCTTTTTAATGATGGTCCAGAAGACAACATGTCAAATGTGGTTTCTGCCGTAAGCTAAAATAATTAAAAAAAATTGGATTATATATCACCATAGTATGTTTACCTGAATCATGGTTTTATACGCTGAACGTATTTAATGATTTCAAGGTTTTGTTTCTGCATTTGCATAGTTCATAGCTGATTTTTATTATGCCTCAATGGTATCGAAAAGCACACATTAACAGGAATTGATTACATATCTATCATATCATAAAATTACACAAAAAACGCAGCTATCATCATCATCAAAGTTTCTGAAATACCAGAAATAGTATTTTCCGGTTCCATACTTAACTGTGTGAGTTAGTTATTACACCCTGAACCCATTTTCAATGAAGGCGTGGCAGACCCCACAAAGTATTCTTGATCAGGGTGACGAGCTGAGTCGATTTGGCCCTGCCCGTCTGTCCGAGCAGTCTCGACTAGAGCTTTCTTACTTGTTTTTATACCCTGAGCCCATTTTCAATGGAAAATCAGTGTATAATGGTTTTGTTAAATGTATGTAACAGGCAGAAGGAGGCGTGGGAGACCCCGTGAAGTATATATATATATATATATTTGATCAGGACGATGAGCAAAGCCGATTTAGCCCTGTCCGTCCGTATGTATGAACGTGTCGATCTCAGAAGATATAAGAGCTAGAGAGTTAAAACTTCATTCCTACGTCCGTGTATATCACGCGCATATCGAGCATTTCTCTAAATATCGATAACTACTCCCGATACTTTATTATCGACTAAAAACCTTATCGAAAGCTAGTTATTTAATTGTATCTTCTACACCTTTAGAGCAGCATATGCATTTTATATAATTTCGATTTTTGTTGTAATTTACTCCTCACCCCTATATCCACCTCCTCACCAACACCTTAGTGAAAGGCGTATTTCAAGTACTAGAGACTTGTGCTTTGGAATGTACATACATTTGAGCATTATGATTATATTCTGAAAGTTAAAGTTAATATTGTACGTCTAGAAATTACATTATTCAACGAATAAATTCTTATAATATTGCCCACACTACAGCGCAGCCCAAGCGCAATCGCTGCATACTGCGCAGTTAGCAGAGCGCGTTCTAATACGTGCGTGTGTATGTATGTGTGCCTAAAAGAAATGCAGACTGATTAGAATTAGAGGTGGGCACGGGCCGACTTTTTTGCACCCGGCCTGATCCGCCCACGGTCAAAAGTTCAAAATTTTATCCGTAACCGAAAGCAAAACAATTTTTCACAACCGCACCCAACCCGCCCGCCCGAAACACTTACAAAAAATTTAATTCTCAAAAATTACAACAAATTTTTTGTTCTCAAACATAACAACAATTTAATTCTTAAAAATTACAATATTATTTACAGAAATATTACATGTTTTTATATAAAAACAAGTAAGAAAGCTCTAGTCGAGACTGCTCGACTACGAGATCCCCTGAACCCTTGGAGCATTAGCTATTTCAATAATTTTTCGCGTCTTTCACCTTACACAAGAAACACGCACACACCACACACACAGTGTGGTCGATGTTATTGTGATCCATCGTGGACTATAGCTTGCTCCGAGTTTTTTCCTGCGAAAGTGGAAATATCTAAAGAAAACGTGTATGCTGTGGGCGCAACGTACCCAGCGACCACGAAAGCTACCAGAGACTTACTGCACGGCGGTTCGTGGAGTACCCCGGTGGTAGAATCCAGTGGTGCAAGAGAGGGAGGCAATAGCGCCATTGCCCACTACAGACTTCACGTCGTTGTAGTCGGAGCAAAAAATGGATGCCAGGATGGAGGACGAGCTGCAAGCTTTCGCGCGTCGTTCCTCGTTGCAGCGATCATCGCAGCAACAACAGAGGGCGCTGCCGCAGCCTGCGACCTTTAATCAGTCCCCAGTGGCTGAGTGCCAGGCACCCAACTCACTAAACGAAGCGTTAGCCCAAATAGGAGTTACGCTAGAGGGCTTGACTGCCTTATTTGGGGGTCAGCGGCATATTAATGCCCTAATGGGAGAGGAGCTGGCTAGGCTGGTTAATCTCCATAAGACGGCAGAAAAGCTCTGAAACCGACCGGTTAAAAACTGCGAGGTGCAGACCATGCCGCTCCAGAAAGTAGTGGCGGAATCGAGCACTAGAGCGATCTCAGGTAGCAATACGCCCAAGCGGTCGAGGGAAGTTGCCACCGATCAGAGGAAAACTCCCTCAAAAAAGCCGAGGCCCAATAAAGGCGCAGCAAACCCAAAAGAACCAATGGCTCTACGGGCTACAGCTGAAAATTCAAATCAGGCCTGTCGACAGACAAACCCGAACAGCTGGACAGTCGTTAAAGGACGCAAGCCCATGCAAAAACGACCCAGAAGTGACGCAATCGCGATTTCAGGCGTGGGTGGTTGCAGCTATGCGGACATGCTTCGTGCAGTCAAGACCGACCCAAATTTAAAGCATCTGAGCGGCGACGTTCAAGGCATTAGGAAGACAGCTAAGGGGGACCTTTTGTTGCAACTGAGCAGAAAGCCGGAGCATAGCGCTGAGGCCCTTCACGAAGCTGTAGGCAAGGTCTTGGGCGACCGAGCGGTAGTTAAAACACTTACCGAATCGGCTCAAATTGAGATTCGTGACCTAGATGAGTTAGCGAGCAAAGAGGAGATCTTGGAGTCAATTAGGGCGGAGTTGAAGGATAGCTCACTCCCCATTGAGGCTATCAAGTCGCTTCGACCGCCTTTTGGTGGACTGCAAAGAGCTACAGTTGCTCTTCTAATTGGAAAAGCCAAAACTCTGCTCGAGCTGTCCAAAATCAGAATTGGATGGGTTGTATGCCGTATCCGCGCCGTGGATCAGCCTAAACGCTGTTTCAAGTGCCTCGATTACGGTCATATGGCAGCAAACTGTCGCAGCGACTGTGACCTAAAGGGCGCCTGTTTCAGGTGTGGAGAGATGGGTCACATGGGAAAGGTGAAAAGCAGACGGACCACTCAGCAGGCAGCTTCAAGTGCCCATACTACCGTGAGGCTGCTCGTAAACTGAAATGTTAAGTTTCCTTCAGCTTAACTTAAATCATTGTGTTGCTGCCCAAGATCTTCTAGAGCAGACCACAAGGGATAAATGTATAGACGTAGCATTTAGAACTGTAGAACCAGCTGCCGTAGGACATGGGCAACAGATGCTAATGGCAAAGCGGTGTTGTGGGTATGTGGCAACACAACGAACGTACTTTCGAATGTTAAGTCATTTAATGGGTTCGTACGTTGCCAACACGGTAGCCTATGGCTATACAGCTGCTACCTGGCCCCCAGCATGCAGCTCTGTGATTTCACAACGGCGCTTGACGAGCTTGCCGGGAGATTTTAACTCATGGGCGTTAGAATGGGGTAGCCATACAACAAATGCCAGAGGCCGTATCTTACTGGAGATTTTCGCGACACTAGATGTTGCACTGCTCAACACTGGCCACGAGTTCACCTTCAGTCGGGCTGGATACGGATCTGTAATTGACATTACTTTTGTCACTTCATCCCTCGTTCGGGAAGCAACATAGAGTCACTGCGATAGCTATACGGGCAGCGATCATACGGCACTTCTATTCACAAGAGGTGAGCCACCTGCCAGGGCGTCAACCTTGAGGAGGGAGTCGTATCGGCTAGATACTTTTGATCCCGTGGTCTTTTCAGAGGCCATTCAGTCTCTGGGCACAATTGGTAATGCTGAGGCCAGAGCATGCCAAATGGTAGCCCAAATACAGAGTGCCTGCAATAGCAGCATGTTACGCCGCAAGCAGTTCACGCGACAACACGTATTGGTGGAATGCACAAATAGGTGACATTCGTCGCAAATGCATCCAGGCGAGAAGAAGCTACCAACGGGCTCGCGGTAGGTCTACGTTTTTTGAGAAACAATTAGCTTACCAGGCAGCTAGAAGACAGCTGAAGAGGGCCATTCGGGCAAGCAAAAGAGAATGCTTTTTAGAGCTGTGCGACTCAGCCGAATATGACCCTTGGGGCAGGGCATATAAGATAGTAGTTAAAAGACTATACGCAGGTAGACAGGTGCAGCCTACGGATCGTCTGGAGCTTAAATCGATTGTGGAAACGCTCTTTCCAGAAAGATTAAGCTCCATTCATGCCCCTGAGTCCGAGTCTGCGAATCAGGGCTCAACGAGCACTCAAATTGCTTTAGTTACAGACGAAGAAATCTTAGTAGCTCTCAGAGGTCTTAGAACGTGCGCTAAAGCTAGCCCTCGCCTAGCACCCTAGTACGTTCGCCGAATTATTCAACGAATGCTTACTACAAGAAACGTTCCCTACAAAATGGAAGACCCAGAACCTGGTATTGCTACCCAAGGCTGGCAAACCACCAGACAAGCCATCTTCATACAGACCGATCTGCCTCTTAGACACCATAGGAAAGGTGTTTGAGAAATTGATCTGCTCTAGACTGGAGACTGCTATTGCTAGCGCCGGAGGCCTATCACCAAATCAATTTGGATTCCGGAAGGCCCGGTCAACAACGGATGCTCTAGAAAGTTGTTGGCTTGGCAACTTCCGCCATCCAAGGCACCAGATGGACGCACGGGACGAAGCAATACTGCATCATCGCGACCCTGGACGTTAAGAACGCCTTCAACACAGCTAGTTGGGCTATGATACTGAATGCGCTGTCACAATATAATATCCCTAAATATCTAAACGAGATAATAAAGAGCTACTTCAGAGGAAGAACACTGGTATACAACACGAGTGAGGGAAAGTACCAGCAGGTGCGCACACCATTGGCTTTGCTGATGATGTGGCTGTCGTCGCCATAGGCAAGGAGCTTAAAGATACAGAGGATATGTGCAGCGAAAGTATCAATCTCATACGAAGCTGGTTGACAGGAGCTGGGCTCGAGCTTGCGGCGCACAAGACGGAAGTCGTCCTAGTAAGAAGTCGCAAGAAAGTGGAGACTACCAATATAAGGATAGGCAGCGTCAGCATCCCGTCAAAGAGGGCGATTAAGTATCTTGGCATCATGTTAGACACAAGATTAACTTTCCGCGAGCA